AGGAACTTCTAAAGAGGGCAGGAATTGCCAGGTTTCTCTGCATTACCAGAGCTCATTTTAGGTTTATTTGCCCATGTGCACAGATGGTACACATGTCCTACTATCACAAATTACCTTCAGATAAGCAGATTTAAGAAGTTGCTTATTTTGTAGAGCTTGTGTACAGTAAAAGTGTCTTGTTTCTGGGTAGACCTTATTCCCTGTTCTATCTATTATGGATTTTGGTGGTCTCGATACAGATTTTCCTGCCAGTTTAGTGCCAGGAACTCTGTGCTTTTATCAGTGTACCCACAGTATCTTTAAGCATATTTTTATTTCTTGGAAAACTAAGCATTTTAAGAATGTAAGCTTTGGGCTAGCGTTCTGTTCCCAGGCAGATGTTGATCCAATTTTTTAGAAATAGTCATTTCATTTTTCTATAAGTGTTTTATGAGAGGCAGTGATAGATGCTTTGATAAAATTTGGATAAACTGCAGCAGCAAACTTGTGAAATCATAGCTAGAAATGAACTTAGAATTCATCTTGTCAAATCCACTTGAAGAGAGAAGTGGGGGTTGGAGGGAGAGGAAGGAAACAAGCAGCTGATTGTCAAGTTCACGCATCCTACTGGTGGAATCAACATAATACTGTTACAGATGCGGTGCTCATCTCTGATTACCATCAGAGTTCTGTAAGGCTGATGGATTGATAGGATTATTCCTATTTACAGATGTATAAACTGAGGCTCAGAGAGATTACTTGGTATTCCTTAGAGGACACAATAAATGAGAGGCAGAGTTGAGTTAGGTATTTTTAGTAGTACATTTTTAAAAAGAGATGTGATTAAAATATTTTTGAATAAAAATTTAAAAAGCATACCAGTATAATACAGTCTGCATGAAGTTAGGTAGCATTTGGAGTGAACCTGTAATGATCCAATCTCGTGCTTTATTTTTTGTTTCCAACAGGACTTTGTAGAGAGGCTACTCGAGGAAAATGGGACATGCAGGTGCAGTGAGTCAGGGCTGGCCACCATGGCCGCAGGGAGGCCTTAGTGTGGGGAGTTTGGCGTCTGCACTGTAGCAGTGGAGCAAGAAGCGGCAAGTGCTGTGAGCCATGTGTAGTCCCAAGATAGTCACACAAACCTACTGAGGACAAGGGAGAGGAAAGAATGCTAGAAACAAGAAAAGAGGTGGTCAGAGACAAAGAATGCTACCTCAGCACCTCTAAATGTGTTGTGCCTCTAAGTGTGTGTGTATGTGTGTGTGTGTTGTCAAATATATTAATATATTCTCAAGGACATTTGTTGCATATTTGTTCACAGTAGCTTGCAATTTCTGTAAGATGTTACTTTAGCTATTACACATTTTTGTACCTAGTGCTGTGTCTAGCATATGCTGGGCATTCCAGAAATGTCCATTAATTAAATACAATAAGCAAGGATATAGACCTGATTTGGGTGGATGCAAAAAGGCACTGTAGTTTAAGACACTCAGAAATCATAAATCAGGGCTGGCCAAATGGCTCAGCAGATTAAAGCACCTTCAAGCAGGCACAGGGGCCAGGGACTTGATCCCTGGGCCTGTCATACCAGCCCTGCCCCCAGGGTTCACTGAGATGGCAATTGAGACTGGATGTGGTGACGCGCACCTGTAATCCCCCTACTTGGGAGGCTGTAAACAGGAGAATCACTACCAGTCCTCTCTAGTAGTGACACTCTGAACACCCTGTAGACCCTTCCCTAAAAATACAGAAAAAAAAAAAAAAAAAGAAATCACATATCAGACTTTAGTGCAGAGAAGCTGAGCTGAGGCTGGTCCTCCATTACTTTGCTTCAACAGTGGATTCTACAATATGTTCCCTTCCCTATGGGGTGGGGTGATTACAAAAGTATGGAAGCACTTCAGACTCAGAGGTGGTAAGGGACAGTGACTTAGGCACTTACCAATATTATATGCAAGACCAGCCTGCTTGGCAGTGGACACCATCTCTACTGTCCATCCCCATGTTTCCAGAAATTTCAGAAACCACACATTAGAGATGCTGTAGAGACACAAGTGTTGGATATCAGGGTACAGTAGATAACCTCAAAATTTTGCTTTCTTCCAACCCAGATGTTAAAAGATGACTGTATAATGGAGATTTCTTGGGGCGTGGTGGTGCACACCTGTAATCCCAGTGCTTGGGATGCTGAAAACAGGAGCATCACTGAGTCTGATCTGTGTAGTGAGACCCTGTAAACCTTGTACTAAAATATATCAAAAAAAATAGAGATTACTTGGATCCAGTATAGTAATTTAGGGACTCATGCATGTGTGAAGAACTGTAAAGTATTTTTATGACACTAGGAAATATTAGGCCAAATACACCCTCTCCATATCTTCACGTTCATACCTTTGTTTTCTTTCGTGTTTGCTTGTGTCTTGCTGTCTGTCACCGGCCTTGTCTCTTTCTTGCCCACCTTTCTCTGTGACTATGTTTATCTCATCCTGAAGTCTTTCTTAAAGGCCTTCTCTCTTATTTTTCCTAAAAAGTTCACAATCTCTTTTACATTAAAGACAAATCTTCCTTTGACCTTTCTGCCCTTTCCAATTTCCACTTGACTCCTCAAGTATGACAATAGGTAGTTTCATCTTGTCTTAATTTTTGACCTTCGGCTCTTATTACCTCATTGAATCTGCAGTCTGGGGGTCAGTAATTATCTCATCATGGCCAGATTCAAATGTCTTTTGTCAAGGCTTGTCCATTTTGAACTAGCAGCTTAATGACATTATTAACAGCATGCCTTCCTCCTCCCTCAACCTGTCTCCCCCCATCCCACACAGCACAGTATTCTTGTTTGGAGCCTCAGTCACACTGGGCTTTGCAATGCCTTCCCTTTCCTGGCCACTCTTCACCTATTTCATTGCTTTCTTTTCTCCCTCTCACTGAATGCTCTAGCATCGCTATTCCTGACAACTACTTTGCAGGCCTCACCCACTCCCATGCTTAGAATCCCTTTTGCCTTTGATGCAGAAGCTGCTTGAATTTACATTTTCTGCTTCTACCTCTTCTCTCTTGGCGTGCTTCCTCTGTAAGTTTCCCCTGGAGAGTTTATTGGTGACTAAAACATGGGATGTTCAAAATAAACTCACTGTGGCCACCTCCTGATTCCACTCCTCAGCAGCCAGTTAGCACCCATGAGAATTCTCTTGGGAGGTTCCTCAAAGGAGCCCTCTCTGAATCTACCTACGTGCTGTGACACAGTACTGCAGGAGCCCCTGATCTCTGCACACCCACAGGAGTCACCTTTGTCCACACCCTGGTTGCTCTAACACTTGGATTGGCAAGTGTACCTCCTGGTGCAGGCCACACTGCCCATCTCCTCTTCTGTCTACATCCCACCCCGTACTTGTTTAGGGGCCTTCAATTTCTCCAATGTATACATTTCTTACCTGGGCCACCATGCCCTCTGCACTCTGCCACTGTTCTTCCTGACCTCTCCCGCAAGAAGCCCCTGAGACCCACCCCATCGCATCTGCTTCCTGCTCCACAATGCCCCGTGCTCAGGTCCTCTGCTGCCAAGGTTCTGTGGCCATTGCTGTGGCTGCAATAGTAAAGTGCTGCAGAGCAGATGCTTCAACATTAGACACTTATTTTCTCAGAGCCTGGAGGCTATGAGTCCAAAATTAAGGTTGGGCACATCTGGTTCCTTCTGAGGTTGGTCTCCTTGACTTGTTTTTTTTTTTTTCAGAACCAGGGATTGAACTCAGGCCCTTGCGCTTGCCAGGGAAGCACATATTCCACTGAGCCATCTCCCTGGACCCAGTCTCCTTGAGGAGACCTTGACTCCTCTTTGAACTTCACTCTGTCCTCTCAGAGTAGTCCTTCTTCTGTAAATGTGCATCCACACCTTTTTTTTTTTTTTGGTCTCATAAGGTTGTCAGGGATATTAGAGTGAGTGTTCTTATAATGACTATTTTATCTGGGTCACCTTTTCTTAGAGCCGTTTCCCCACTTATTGTCACACACTGAGGTCCCAGGAACCCTGGACTTCAAAACAATCATTTACTGGGGGAACAATTTCATCCATAAAACATCTTCCCAACTTCTTGTATGTCCTTTCCTCCTTCTCCCTCTTCATTCGTTCCTTCTCTCTGTCTGTCCCTCACCATCATCAAATACTATGGATCCACAATTCATTGTCTTCTTGGAAGTTCTTCTTGGCCCCAAGTGCATATGGGGTGGGAGACTTCACCAGCCTGCTTTCTCCTCTGGTCCTTCTCAGTGGCTTCTCTACCTTTGATTCCACTGAGAGCAGAGATTGTGGCTCTTCTCTTTTGTACACAACTCTAGACAGGGAGGCATTTGTTAATTTACCTTGAGTCACCCTTCTAAGGAAGTGTAGTTTAGCCCCTCCACTTCCTTCTCAGGAAAGCTTTTCTGAGTGGGCTGGAGATCAGCACTTAACTGTGTTAACATTGAGGAAGTGCGGGTTGAGTGTCCACACCAGTGATGTTCAGCTAGCTCACCTCCTCTCCAAATTGGAAAAGCAAGGGACAGGGTCTGTGACACTCTAAATGTAGCTGTGAATTCATGGATTTTCTTCTAACACCATCAGGAATTTGAGGAAAAGTGCAATTTCTTTGACCTAAGAAGTTGAAAATTTTAGATGTAACCCATTTCCTTGACAAGTGAGAGGCTCACCCTGTCAGGGGAGAGTTGAAGCCTTTGAGAAAAACCCACTGTGTCTTAGTGACCCTCACAGGAAAAGAGGTGGGTGTTGTGGCTCTAGAAATGTCTGTTGACTGGCTATGAGTGGTGTTCTGGGGGAACTGCTGTGTGAGGGCTTTGCAGGTGGAAGGCTCTTGTCAGCATTCCTGCCTAGAGTGTGGGAGAGGTATTTGGAGGCTGAGGGATGCCCCCCTTTGGTTAAAGATACGCCACTCCCTTCTTTCCCCCATCCTCAGGCACATCCTTCCTCTCCCTTCACCCCTTTTCTTCTCTCTCCCCTCCCTACTCTTTGTCCCATTCACTGTCAGGAAGGGCCATGCCAGAAGGGCCCAGTCAGCGTGTCGTGGCAGCGGCAGAGGCTAGCAGCACCAACAACTTCCACAGTGAGTCTGGATTTCATTTCTGGGGCCAAGGCTTGGCAGAGCTGTTCCCATACAGACTGACAGCTTGCAGGCTTTGGAGAGGAACTTCCATGGGCTGAGGGATGTTCCAACCACTTTTTGCCTCCCAACATGGGGCCTCATTTTACTTCAATGGAAGTTTCCTGCCAAAGCCATCGATGTGCTTGGGATGTCTCATGGGGTGGCAGCATGGTGGGTGGCGGGGCCATGACCTGCTAAAGCCTGGTGCACAGTGGAGATGGCCACCAGAATTCAGATGGCTGCAGGGTCTGTGTGCAGGTCTGCGTGTCGGTGGAGGCTTGAGGCACTGCATGGGTGGTGGTTTGACTGCTTTCATGCCTTGCAGGAGGTGTGGCTTGAGATGTGTGTATACTTTGGGTGCCTCCCTTTGAAGAAATAAGATCATCCTTGAAATGTGGGCCAGAGGGTCTCACGATAGGTCTCCTCTTCACCTCTGATGACCTGAGCACACACAGCAGGGTCAGTTGAAGGTCCATATGTCCTGCCTTGATCTGATGGCTGAATTGGATGGCTTCCTTTCATGTTTTGCCTAGTGTTCTTTTTCCTTCTGTTTTGGGACTGATCCACTTGGAAAAACACATTGAGAAAATTAGCTATCTGACCATAAAACTCCAGTCCAAGTCCTGCTTGTCATCATGAAGTGCTTTCCCACTGACCAGTTGCTGCTTCCAAACACTGATTGAGTGTATTGTTGACTCTGTTTAGAAGTAAGAAGCTTTAGCTTCTTAATATGAGGCATTATCCTGGTCCTGAGGGGGCCCAGGGATGCTCTTACAATTGTATTCATTTCTCTCCTGATTTGGTTAGGGAGGTAAATAAAGTGCAGCCTCCCAGATTCTCCCAGGGCCATAGTCACACAAGCATCTCATCTTGACACTGTTACTAACAATGGCTTCTGTTGTTAGAAACAAGTGTGTTTTCTAGCCTTGGGAGAGTTTTGTAAGCAGGATCACATAAGAGCTTAATTTCCTCTCATGCTTGTAAAATAAGTACATGTATTTCAGTCGCATCAGAGCCCAACTCTCAATTTCAGGAGTTGACAAGTTTTATTGAAAGTGTCAAATTCATTAATTCAATTAAGCAAATAATTTATTACAAATTAAGTGTATGCATTTGATTGTCTAAACTTAGGTACTTCTGAGGGTGAAAAAGGAAGCTATTAATAATTAAATAGGAACTAAGGGCATAAATTTAGACCTTCCCTGGTAAATTGGAGCATACAGCCACTTCTCCATGTATCTTGAGCTATTCTAGGTGCTAGGGATACAACTGTGAGTAAAACAGATAAAAATCTTTACCTTTAATAAGGGAAATAGAAGATAAAGATAAAGAAACATAATAAGTTAGAAAGTGATAGGTCTTTAGAAGGAACATCAAGCAGAGAGGATAAAAATAGGCGCATAATGGTGGTAAGAGTAGTGATAGTGGGAGTGGTGGTGGTGTGTGTGTGAGTGTGTGTGTGTGTGTGTGCGCGCGCGCGTGCGTATGCCATTTTAGATAGGTGTCCAAAGCAACTGAGTTGCTTCAGAAAGATGCTATCATTTAATTCACTTAGTTTCTCCAAGGAGTTTTGTGGTTCAGGTAAGACTTTCTGAAGCAAGTCAGCAGTGAAAAGTCTGAGTTCAGATGAAGAAATACTGACTTCAGCAAGACGAAAAGCAGAGAGGGAGAATCAGGCGGCCACAGTGTTGTGAGCTACCTTTGTCATCTTGGTGTCTAGCAGTTTCTTGTCCTGCCAATGTTGTTCAGGGGCATCAGAAAGAAAACAAGGCTGCATTCAGTCATTTGTATAAAACGTCTTCTTCTGTGGCCTGCACTGACCGTTCAGGGTATCCTCAGGTCCTTCCTTCTTCCATTCTTGGAGACAGATGGTGTGTCCGTGGGAGACACAGCAGCATCTGACATTTGTTTATCAACTACTCTCAGCACTTTACTAGAGACTTGGAGTAACTTCATTAACTTAATCTATACTTTCCTATGAAAAAGTTACCATATTCCCACTTTAAGGATGAGAGCACTGCTGTTTAGACATAAAACAAGAAGGTAGAGCAGGCAAGATTTAAGTCAGAAATCCAACGTTTGTCAGCCAGTGTCAGCATCCTTCCATAAGCGCCAATTGGTAGGAAATGGGGAAGGAAAAGAGAAGGTGGACTCCCCGCATTGTCCTGAGGTCCTGTGTGTGGGCTCTGCATGGCTGGATAAAGAGCAGAAGGGGTGTTGGGGTGGTTGTCCACGTCTTGCTGACTGTGCATGGAGACAGATTTCTGCTGCTTCTATGTGGTTGCCCCTGGGTGTGGGGATGGCATGGCATCTCTGGGGCATGAGAGCAAGTCATCTGTGGTCATGTCTATCTTCATCAGAGCTAGAAGGAGGACCATTGCATGGTGTGTGGTTCCTGATAATGGTGGTGGTGTGACTGCATGCAAAGTTCTGATACTGGTCACAGGATTTGTAACAGGGCTTTGAGCGAAGTGTTAAACTTGAAAATAATTCTTAATTCTTGTCTGCCTTTATGAATGGAATCTGTCATTCTTGGATGCTGTTAGCAAGAAACAGGCAGGGTGGCTCTGGACCACACCTCAGATATCATGGCTGTATCTAACATCAATATGTCTGTGTGACTTTCCATTTATTTGAAGTGTACCTTCCTATATTTCCTAGAAAAAAATAGGTAACACTTTATTTTATACATAAAGTAGGCTCTGAAGAAGGTCAGCAGTAAGTAAATCACTTTTTAGATGCCCAAGAAGTCTCTGCTATAACAAAGTAAAGAATTAGTTTGGGACACCAAGAACATCCGCCATGCTCCTACAGGAGCATCTTTCCACATGCAGTGCTATTGTTTCCTTGAGCTTCTAGCATGCATTTATCCTAGGTCTCAAAGCACATAATGTCTTGTTCAATTACACACACACACACACACACACATGCACACACAAAAAGTGTGCAATACTTTTATTACATGAAAAGAGTAATGAAAGTGTTACACACAAAAAGTGTGCAATACTTTTATTACATGAAAAGAGTAATGAAAGTGTTACTTTTATATTGACAATACAAGAGTAATAACTTGTCATTTGTCAAGGATTTTCTTTGCCATCAGAATGCCAACATTATAGGAAATATCCTGCTGGTGCTTGAATACTCCTTGTTGTGGTCTTCTCACCGCTGGACTGTGGCTACCTCATCAAGCACTGTTCTTCACAGTCTGTGGACTTCATAGACTGTGGATGGTCTGTGGGCAGGCCAATCATGGCCTGATTTCTCTGCTCAATTTAGTATTCAAGGGCTAAGGAGCAAAGCTTCCTTGTCTTCCTCCACAGATTACCCATCCCTGTTTTTTTTTTTTTTTTTTTTTTCTGAATCTCCTCCCTAATAAAAGCAAACAAGTGAACTGACTACCTTTGCTCCTCATATCCTAACCCATCTCCACACCAGCTGGCTTCCCTGTTCTGCATCTGTGTGCTCTATGGAGGGCTACTGGGAAGAGGAGCAAAGACTAGAAATACCTAGGTAGATTTCTAGTAGACAAATTTATTTCTTCTTTTCTGGTTACTTATGGCCAACTCTGCCACTCATGTATACAAGGGAAGTTTCATTCTAGGAAGGGTTTAGGCTCAACTAGAAGGACCATGCTCAAGCTTTAGACAGAAATCTAAGAAGACAGGGTCACAGGAATTCTTCAGTCCAGCAGCCTCCTTAGAAATCTGATCAGAGGATCTTCCTTTATATCACCAAACTTGGAAGCTGGAGGGGGTGTATTATCTTCCCATGCAAATAAAACCAGTTTTTCAAAGGATAATAAACACAAATACCTGTCTCTGTACACCAAGGGACACATGAGAGATTGTTAGGAAAAGCTTTGTTCAACTTTCTCTATTTGAGTGTTGTTTTGGGCTATCACTGAGGCTGTGAGGTAGGACCAGGTGCCATGACTTTGTCTCTAAGTGAGGGAGCATTCTAAAGCACACCAAAACTTGGATGGAATAAAACACCAATATTGTTCACAGCTCTGAAATTGTGAGATGCAGTTATCCAGCTTTTCAAAACTGCTATCTCAAATCTTGTGAGTTTCTTATGGAAATTCAAATCTTGTGATTTGAGATAGTTAAGATTAGTCTTTCAGAGAAAACAAAAACATTCTTCTAGGTAAGGTGCCTCTTAATTTATATGGTGTCTCAAGTCTTTGTACTCCAAAATTAGCTGTGCACGCCCAGGACTGGGCCTTTGGGTTCAATCTGGAGATTTATCCAAGATAAGAACTTCATTTATTGCAGGTTATTTAACCTTTGGCCTCCTAGCTCCCTTAGAATTTGTTCTCTGCTGATGTGAACAGTATTTCAGAGCAGAGAAATCCCTTTGGTCACAATGATAAGGGTTGCCTGGAAGAGGGTGGCATTCAAGTTTTTGTATGAAGCAGGTGAAAGGACCACAGGGAAGTGAAAGAGGAGGGGAAGGAAACTTTCTACCCATTTCCTCCAAGAATGTTTCCCAGAGCCATTGCCTTGGCTTTAGGATTGGATTCCACGCTCCTTGATCTGGATCTTATCTTCAATTTGGTCAAGTCCGATTGTTTCTGCAATTGTTTTAGAACAGAGGCTCATGATAAATCCATATATTTGGAAGAGTTGTATGTCAGCCTCCCAT